ATTGTTTATTGTTTACGTTGTTTGTTTTGTTTGAGTTTTCCTAGTCATTGTCGGTTTTAGTTTAATAAGCATTGTAGGATTGGGTTATTGGGACAATGGCTATTTAAGGCCTTGTCTGCGTTTGTAGAAGTTTCATTCTCTTGGCTTCAATAAAATAAACCTATTGGTTTGCACATCTGGTGGATTTCCAGAGTAGTTCTTAAGGAAGCTTGCAGCTGGCAAGCTTGTGTTCTTTCGGATTCGGTGCTAACGAATCTTTGGGGTTTCCGAATGCGTCATGACATTACAAGAGTGGCTGGGACTACCACATCATCAATACTAGGCGGTACTCCAGGTATATCCAATAATTTCTCCAACGTAAAAGTTAACTCAACTTACAAAACTGAAAACTATTGTGTAATGCACTCAAGTAACAATACAATCTATCATTATCCAATGAAAGTCTCCATCACATAGCATGGTCTAATTAACTAGTCTCATTTGGACCAACAACATTAATTTATATCTTGAGCATTTTCTATCCCCTTATTTTATGTTAGTTTTTTTTTTTTTTTTGGTTTGCTTAATTAGTTTGATTGTTAGAAGAAATTGAGAAACTAATTAGAAAGAAAAAGAGTGACTGAAGCAAAAGTGTGATGAAGCTACAGGTGAGCTGCAGATTGTTCATGCATGGTATTGCTAAACCTATGTCCAAGTTCAAAATGCAAAGAGCACATAATTAAAACCAATCATGCCATGGAAGAAAGCACACACATTTGCGGTGAATAAAGGATTTGCAGTTCGCATGACGCAGTCATATATACACTAATCACAAATAGCACTTTCTTCTACACCTTTTCTCACTCGTCGCAAATAGAGCTTCCCATAGCCAAAAAAAAAAAAAAAATCACTGCCAATCAGCATCAAATGTCTGCGCTGGTTCTGATCTCTGGCGGGCTGGTGGAGGCGCAGTACGAGTTCCCGCCGCTGTCCACGGTGAGAGATGCCAAGGCCCAGATCCAGTCCGAGTACGCGGTCCCCATCCGCCGCCAGATCCTGCACCGCCGAGGCCCAAACAATATTTCACCCGCGGGCTCGGAGATACTTGAGGACGGCCGCACGCTGGAGTCGTACGGGATTGGGCCGAACGGATGGGCCCGGCTGGACCTGGGGGTGGTGATGGACCGACAGGTGTCCGTGCTGGTGGTGGTGACGTCGCCGCAGCTGCCGGGGTGGCAGGAGGAGATCCGGTGCCGGGAGACTGAGACGGTTTTGGATTTCAAGGAGCAGATTGCCTACAAGCTGGGTTGGGGCTCGCCGACGGAGATGGTGTTGCGCCACCGGAGGACGGTGATGAGCTTGGACACTGCTGCCGTGATCCAGTACCTGGTCACCGACGGGAGCCGGCTCATCGTTGAGTTCCCCAAGATGCCCGCTCCCCGCCCCCGTTTATGATTAGCTCGAGTCTCCGATCCGGCGGTTTGTCATAGTTTGATTAGTAGTAGTATTAGTACGTACGGAGGATGAGATATTAGAGAGCAAGAGTAATTAAGTGGCCCCAAATTGAAGGTTGTTTCTATTATTATTATTATATGATGATTATCCAGTAAGTAGATTAATTGTCTCTATAAATTTAAAATTGCATTGCTGATTTATGGATGTATCAGAGGGATTATGCTGTTTTTTTTTTTTTTCTTCTTCTTACAATTAAGAGGATTACCGAATTCGGTTTAATTCTAGACTGTTGACTTTTGATCCGTGTATTGGGAAATACTAGTATTTCGGGTGTTCATAGGCTTGGAACAGAGTTATGCGGGCCGGCCTATATGCAACTGAACAAAACCCAGTTAAATAATGTTCAAATAATGATCCAATTATTCTGCGGGTTACTTAGAAGCTCTAATTTAGAACCAACGGGAGGCTTCCTGTTTGCTACTCTCTTGCCCCTAACCACGAAACTGAATAACTGATTTTGTAAGACTGTGCATAGTGAAGACAAGTGGCAACTTTATGCCAAACTTAATGTAGCTCAAAAGCTGTTAGTGACAAACGTAAAGGAAAGCGAGAGAAGATATAAAGTGTTTTGATCTTCTTTCAATAGGATAGTTCAAGTATTTGGATCTAGGCTTAAGTATGTCAACGCGACTTAGTGGAAGTGATTCGAACTTTGAGAGACTGTATCAACCTCTAGCCTTGGTTATTCTGTCTACCACAAAACAGAATACCTATAGCAAGCAAATGTAAGTGGTTGAACATAGACACATAGTTATTTCTTAACTTAGTTAAGCCTATTGCTTATGTCTCAGTCTCAGCTCCAAAGATGTCTCATCCTTTGAGATATAATTGTCTAGGTTTTATCTTATTCGCGTTCAACATAAACCAAACTCGAAGTTAAAAATCCATTGTCAAATTCAACAAAAAACACCAGACATTTATAAAATCATATAATACAATACTTCAATCCTCAAATTCGGCCTTATCTCTTTCTTGTAATTGTAATGCCTTTTGTTTGGCTTCCTTGTACTCGAGTGCGAGAGCTCCAAGTTTATGTGCACGTTTTTTGGCTTCTTTATACATGAACATGTTCATAGGATATGTCGTACAAGAAACATAGCTAGATCCATTAGCCTCACCATGAAGATTTAATTTTACAAATTGTTTTCGTTGCTTGCTTCTATTATAAACGCGCTGCTACGGATCGGGAAATCGCCGGAATCGACAAAGCAAGAATACGAAAGCGAGAATCGAAAGAACACAGACACACGATTTACATGGTTCACTAACACGATGTGTGTTAGCTAGTCCACGGGCGAGTATGAGAAGGAAACGGTTACAGACCAGGCCCAGAACCCGAACCCAAATAACAACGAGACCCCCGATTACCAGTCGTAGCGCCTGATAGTCCGATTCAAGTCACATCAACAAATCTCCACCTTGACTTGAATCCTCTTCCTCTGAAATCTCTGATGTACTCTGCTCCTTCTCTCTCTATCTCTCTATCTCGCCATCAATTGCCCCGTAGGGCGGAGTCACCCACTCAAGACATTCAGCAAGTCCAAGCAGTGTTGGAACTTGCCATGTGGAACTGGCTTCGTGAACATATCAGCAGGATTATCCGCGGTGCCAACCTTCTTCACCTTAATCCTCTTCTCTATCCTCAAGAAATGATACCTCGCGTCGATGTGCTTAGTCCTCTCATGGTGGACTTGATCCTTGGCCAAGCATATTGCAGTCAAACTGTCGCAATACACCACTGCCTGATTATGATGTAGACCAAGATCACCAACCAGTCCCTTCAACCATGTTCCCTCCTTAGCAGCTTCTGTCAACGCCATATACTCTGCCTCAGTAGTAGACAATGTCACCGCCGACTGCAGAGTTGTCTTCCAGCTCACTACAGAACTCCCAAGAGTGAATACATAACCGGTCATCGATCTCCTCGTGTCAACATCTCCATCATAGTCCGAGTCAGAATACCCAGACACCAAGCACTCTGTATCACTTCCGAAGCTAATCCCCACATCAGGTGTACCCTTAAGGTACCGGAAGATCCTCTTCACAGCCTGCCAATGCTCCTTCCCAGGTTGTATCATAAACCTGCTGACAACACTAACAACATGTGCAAGATCAGGTCTAGTGCATACCATAGCGTACATCAAGCTACCTACTGCACTAGCATATGAGGATTTAAACGGGTCCAGGAGTGTCAATTTTTTTCTTTAAGTCCTTTTATTTCTCCATGGTGGTAAAATATATATATGAAAAGGCAAAACTAATACTCCTTTTTACTGCTAAAAAGAAAAAAATTAACAATAAACTAATGCATGGATTCTAATGGGCTAACCGCTAATCATAAAATAAAAGAGTTGAACGGGTCTGACCTACATGGGATTTGCCCATCAAGTAAAACAAATGAACATCATGGGTTTGCCATTCTAAAACAAGCTATTTTCTCTAGCATAATATATACTATGCTATTATTTTATATCTTAGTGGCTAAAATATAATGTATTTTAAAGTTATTCAATGGTTCAACTTCGACCAACTCAATTAGTCCAATTTTTATCATTTCAAATATATATTATGTAATTATTTGATATCATAATGATTAAATTATAGTGTATATTATAGGGAATCGTTTGGTATTTGTTAGTAAAAAACTAAACAGAAAGATCTATTTGGTTATTTTTAATATTAAAACGATCCTAAACAATTTCAGTTTCCTTTCGAAATTCTATAGTTTTATTCCCGAATCAGTGATGTGCAAATGGTGAATTGCAGTCATCTCTTTTCTTTCATTATTTTTATTTTCAAATATAAAGTTTAAAAGTAAAGAATAATTAGAGTTTGGCATGGGTCGGTCAAACAGGCTGAATTTCAAGTTTTTGCCCATTTTGATCAAGTCTAATTTATAATCACATGGTTCTCTGATACCCTATAAAAATCTCAATCCAAACCAGTTTGGCAGGTGAGTCCGTGTTTACCACCATTTTCTAGGGATACAGGAACGGTGGTTCCTATCCCAAATCGTGCTGTTCATTCTTGATTTCTTTAGATTTTATCATGGCTTGGCAAAAAACCAGAAAACACAATGATGAGAAGATGAAAGTTTTATAAAGCAAATTAATCGGCCAACGGGCCGAGTAAAAGCTAGCAACGATTGTGAGATGCTCATTTCCCGAAAATCGGCGGGATATGCGATTTTTTATTCGATTTTCTGGAATTCGGTTTCTATAAAACTTACTCCACCTCATCATATTACCAGAAACAATATTGTTTCACAAGGTAACATGTACTTGATTTTGGTTCATAAGACTGATTTTTGATTCGTTGCATCATTCATGTCTCTTTTCTACTAAAATTCACTATTTTTATCACGTGTTTCCCCAAAAAAAACTATACAACAATAAGCTATACATCCCATTATATTATCAAATTTCATACCTCATCTTCGTTCGGCCAAATGGCCGGGGCCTACGCTAGTGTGTAATTAATTTCCATTCGTTTGCATTTTGAAGTATCTAAACCAGGAAGGCCCCCAACTGGACAACCGTTTCACGTATGAGAATGGGCCTAATAACCCTCCAACCACGTTGACTTTTGGGCCCAACTACTTGTTACGCAACTTGTATAATCTCAGCCCAATCCAGGCAAGTCCTTCTCTCACTCCTTCCTAGGGCTGGATGTTCGGGTTCGGGTTTATGGGTAACCCGGAATCGGACCAAAAATTCCGGGTTTTGGGTACCCGAGAACCGAAATATCATTGTGAAAAATGGGTCTCGGTACCACATCTGGCTATTTTTCGGGTTTTGGGTAAACCGAACCCGGACCCGAAAATAGAAGGACCCGAAGTGGAACCGAACCCCAGCCCACAGGCCAAATATTATATGGCCCAGCGGCCCAGCCCAGCCTTAAGGCCCTCGGCCCCCCTCACTCCTCAGCCCGACCCCGACAGCCCAACCTTCATCAGCCTTCATCAACCTAACGCCCTAACCCTAAGCTTCATCTTCCCCTTCGACCTTCCCATTCCCAGCGGCCACTCCCCACTTCCCTCTCGCAGAGACGCAGACAAAAACCTTCCTACAATCATCCTTCACCAAATCGCCGACTATCATCCATCAACAATCAACAAATCGCCGACCAACCTTCTGTCATCCTTCAGCAAGCATGGAACGAGCAGGTGGGAGGAAGAGAGCTGCTGTAACAGGTTGTCTTCGGTGGCTTATGGGTATTCGGGTGACCGAACCATACCCGAGAACCGTGACTTTGGGTCTCGGGTACCCAAGAACCGAGTCTGGGTCGGGTCTGGTTCCTCAAACTGACATTTTTTGGGTCCGGGTACCCGCGTATTTGGGTCCGGGTACTAGGACCCGAACCGATCTCCAGCCCTACTCCTTCCGGTATATGTTCTAGTGTCCATCGGTCAACAAACAATTAAACAATACTGATCAAGCGAAGACAATTTCTCTCCAATTGCGTGGTTTCTAAACCGAAGTTCCTTATTTGTTGAAAATCTAAATAAGTTTTTTTTTTTTTTGGTGTGGATGTCATGCATGCAGGATTGGGCGTTGGCTACAACACTGGTAAGGCCAACGCGTTTCTTTGATGTTCAAGAGATCGTGTTGACGCAGAGCAATTACGGTTCCGTGAAAAGAGTGTTCATTGCTACGGACGTAGATTTTGATGTACCCAGACAATTTCAAGAAAGAATCGTATCGCAGACTCCGCCAGATAAGCTACATCAAATATTGGGGTCGGATCATGTACCAATGGCGTCGAGGCCTCTAGAACTCCGGAATTGCTTGCTTGCCATTGGTGGAAGATATTAGATAACATTTTGATCACTTGCTCAAACAATTTATAGACTTCCCGTCCCCATCCGCCCCAGAAATAAAATTATGCAATGAAATTTGCTCAAATCTTATATATTAATTGTCACCTTTTCTCTATTAATCCCATAATAATAATGTTATCCGGCTCAATAAACAAAGACGTAGAAGAGATACTAATACATCGTTTAATAATTCTCAGTAAGAGAATGTTGTACTTGTTGTTGTCTCGTTTTTTCTCATCTCGGGTATAGATAATGGAAATATGAGAGTGGAGGCCAAAAAAAAAACAGAATAAGAATATACGGGTGAACAAAGAATTTTATTTCCTCAATATCGGACAATTCGATTTACATAATAGCAGCAGAGAAAAAGAAGGAATTAATGAAACAATGATGAGAAGAAGCGGAGTTGGGAAATGGGGAAGGAGGCCGCTGCACAGTTTGGGTTTTGCTTGGACGTGCGGTGACACACAAAAAAAAAAAAAAGAATTAAGGGAGGAAGGCAACAAAAGGGACTGAAGCGGCAGGCGGGGAATAATAGGGGTTGTAGTGACGGCGGCGGCGGAGGTGCGGCAAAACGTTGCCATCGTCGTCGTCGTCGGAATCGGCGCCGTTGCGCTGGATGACGGTCTCCAGTGCTTCGGCCACGACGAGGACGAACTCGAACGTTGCGCTGGTGAGAAAATCTCATTGTAGTCAACTCCTTCCCTCTGCGAGAAGCCTCGTGCAACCACTCGAGCTTTAAATTTCATGCCCTCTTTAGAAGTGATTCCTTCCTTCTTCTTGTAGATCCACTTGTTTGTAACAATCTTCCTTCCCTGTGGTCGTTTGACTAGCTCCCAAGTCTGATTCCTGTCATGGGATTCCATCTCATCTCCCATTGCGGCAAGCCACTGATCAGCTTCACCACCCAAAATTGCTTCTCTATAGGACTGTGGCTCTCCTGCATCCACTTCCTCAGCAACCTGAAATGAATACGCCACCATGTCCTCGAAGCCATACCTCTGTGGAGGTACTCCTGCAGTCGCTCTCTTTGGTCTACCGGAAGCCATAGACTGTTGAGCTCCTGCACTAGACTTTGAAGTTTCCGGCTCTGTAGAAACATCCTCATGTTGATGTTCTCCACCTTGGTGCTCAAACTCACTCTCATTGAGACTTTGCAGCTCCACCTGCTTATCAACATTCCTGCTACCTTCAACAACAGTGACCTTCAACATGGGGTTAAACATAGACTTGTCATCAAATATCACATTTCTACTAAGTATAACTCGATGCTCAGAAGGTGACCAGACTCGAAATCCCTTAACTCCATCTCCGTAACCCACAAATACACCCTTCTTTGCCCTTGAGTTTAGTTTACCCTCATCCACATGATAATAAACAGGACACCCAAAAACTTTCAGTGAAGAGTAATCAGCAGGCTTACCATACCACACCTCATAAGGAGTGTTCAACTCGATACCTGTGTGAGGTCCACGGTTGATCAGGAAGCACGCCATGTTCACTGCTTCTGCCCAGAATCTTCTCTCTAGTCCAGCATTAGAGAGCATGCACTGTGCTCTCTCCAACAATGTCTGGTTCATCCTTTCTGCAACGTCATTCTGCTGGGGTGTATCTCTAACAGTCCGATGACGGGCAATCCCTTCATCCTTGCAGAATTCGTTGAACTCAGAATTGCAGAACTCCAGACCATTGTCCGTTCGCAGCTTCTTGATCTTCTTCCCGATCTGATTCTCCACCAATGTCTTCCACTGCTTGAACTTCGTGAAAGCCTTACTTTTCTTCTTCATCATGAAAATCCAAGTAAATATCGAATAATCATCAATAATAAACATAAAATACCTGCTTCCTCCAATGGATTCAACTCGTGAAGGACCCCAACAGTATCCCCTTCGTCCGGTGGATACCCTTCTTGGGAAACTTGCTGCGATGTAGCTTCCCAAACACACAATGCTCACAAAATTCCAAATTCTGCACCTTGTGCCCGCAAAGAAGATCCCTCTTCGATAGAACTTGCATCCCTCGTTCACTCATATGCCCCAGTCTCATGTGCTAGAGAGTGGTCATATCTTCCTGATGAACCTGAGACGATGCAACTGCAGCAGAACCAGACAACACAGACCCTTGTAATGCATACAAGGTCTCACTCTTCACGCCCTTCATTACCTTCCTCGAACCCTTGCAGACATACACAACTCCACCTTTTCCTTTGAAGCGGAAGCCCTTGCTGTCGAGTAGACTCAATGAGATCAGGTTCTTTGTCATTCGTGGAACATGCCTGACATCATTCACGATACAGAACGAACCATCATGTGTCCGAACCTTTATGGACCCGATTCCAACAACCTTGCAGACAGCTCCATTAGCCATGACCACGTTACCACCATCTATCTGCTGGTAGGTTGTGAAGCAATCCATGTTCGGAGACATATGGTATGAGGCTGCAGTATCCAGAAATCACACATCCCCATGATGTGCCTTCTCATCTACAGCCAAGGCGAGATCGTCTTCAGAACTGTTGTCCACTTCTGCGACGACAACTGAACCTTGTTTCTTCTGTTTCCCTCTTCTCTTGGGACAGTTGTACTTCCAATGCCCCACTTCCTTACAGTTGTGACAAGCATCACCTGGCTGTGGAACGGGACCCTTGGAATTCTTGCTCGAATTCCCTTTACCAGATTTCTTCTTTCCCTTTCCACCTGTAACAGCCAAACCCGATGTCTCACCACCTGTACCAGACCGGGACGCCTTATGCCTAATCTCTCTCGTATGAAGAGCAGACCTGACATCCTCCAACGACACGCTTTCTTTGCCAGCAATAAAAGAATCAACGAAATTCTCATATGAACTCGACAAAGAAACCAGCAGGATTAGGGCAGCATCCTCGTCATCAACTTGAACATCTATATTACGCAGATCCAGCAAAATAGAGTTAAGCTGTTTGAGATGTTCCCTCAAAGGCGTACCTTCTTGCATCCTCAAACTGAACAACCGTTGCTTGAGATGCAGCTTGTTGGTTAAGGACTTAGTCATATACAAACTCTCCAACTTTAACCACAAGCGCGTGGCAGTCTTCTCAGCAGCGACTTCAATTATGACGTCATCAGACAAAAATAGCGTGATGGTCGAGTGGGCCTTCTCCTCCATGGTATTCCACTCATCGTCATCGACCGCTGCCTTCTTCTGTTTCGCAGACAGCGGCCCCCACAATCCTTGCTGTTTTAATAAAGCCTGCATCTTGATCTGCCATATAGCGAAGCTGTTCTTCCCCGTGAACTTTTCGATCTTCATGTTCACCGACGTTATTCTTCTGAATCGAAAACCCTAGCCTGATTTCCAACCGCGGCTCTGATACCACTTGTTATAAACGCGCTGCTACGGATCGGGAAATCGCCGGAATCGACAAAGCAAGAATACGAAAGCGAGAATCGAAAGAACACAGACACACGATTTACGTGGTTCACTAACACGATGTGTGTTAGCTAGTCCACGGGCGAGAGAGAGCCAGTTTCACTATGTCGAGGAGATTACAGATTACAGAGGAGTATGAGAAGTATTTATAGTACTTCTTCATGTGGGTCTAAACCTAATCCAAAAAGACAAAGGAAACGGTTACAAACCAGCGAGACCCCCAATTACCCGTCGTAGCGGCTGATAGTCCGATTCAAGTCACATCAACAGCTTCGAATAAGAAGATTAGCGAACGGTTCACCCATATGAAAAAGGAAAGAAGAAAATCATCGAATAAGAAGATTTTTGTTTCCCTGTATTATCAGTATAGGGTAAGAAAGGGAAGAAAATAATACGTTATTTTGTTGACTCGCTTTCTCGTAAGGTTGTATCACAATCTGTATAACGACTCAGTTGCCCTTTACAGAGACCAGGAAATTCAGAGGTAAGGGATCTAAATCTTCAATGTTGTACCAACGTAATAAGTTGGAGTGTAGGTTTTGGGTCTTCCATTATGCTCTTTTTCATCGAGTGTTTTGATTTTACAGCTTCCGTGTTTTTGTTTGCCTCATAGATACAACAATAAACAGGAGTCTCCTAGAATCAATGGGTACTACTGGTTCTGGGACGTGGAGTAGCCATTATGGGTGAACCACGTTAAAAATATCGTGTTTCATTTTCATTTCCTGCATTTCATTAGCTGCTCATTGGGACAAGTTACGGTGATTACTATAAAATAGTAATCACCGTGGTTACTAAGGGCAAACTGAGTATGACAAAAAAGTTATTAATTACCCTTTTAACAAATTAAATTTAAATTGTTACAAAAATATATTAATTACAATTTTCTCTCTCTTTCTCTCACTTTCACAATCTCCAGCCAGATCTCTCTTCCTTCTTTTTCTAGATTTTCATCGCTTTTGTTCAGCCGAACTAATACTGCTGCAACAATAAAATAATACCAATCTATTATAAAAACACTACCAATGGACAAAACACCAATATCATTGCAGATTTAATCAATATCAATACATGCAAATCAATACCATTACATGATAATCATCGCTTTTGTTCAGTCGAACTAATACCGCTGCAACAATAAAATAATACCAATCTATTATAAAAATATTACCAATGTACAAAACACCAATATCATTGCATATTTAATCAATATCAATACATGCAAATCAATACCATTACATGATAATCAATACCAATGCAAAATAAAAGAGAGAAAACAATACCAATGCGAAAAACACTACCACTACAGAAAAAGAACACTACCATTTCACAAAAAAACAATACGCTTACATGATAATCAATACCATATAGAAAAAAACAATACCAATGTTAAAAAAACAATATCACCACGGAAAAATCACTATCAATGCGAAAAATCAGATCTAGGATTTTTATTCATCCCAACTTTTCCAGCTACAACCGTCTCCCAGAGAGAGACAGAGAGAGAGAGAGCAGCAGGAGGGTGCCCACAGCGGTGGGCAAGGGTAGCCAGGGTGGAGAATGGCCGCCGACAGTGGGAGGTTGGTC